AATTTCTGCTTATCAAATTTGCTAGATGAATATCTCCACCTGAGGCAATGTGGAGGATTTTATCGTTCAATTTAGCAGAAATCCATCCAACTGTTTACTCTTTACAACTTCAACTCCTAAATCATCAACAAGTGCGATATAACGACGAAGATGATTTAACTACTATTATTGAGAATGAAGATACAAGACGAACAATGTTAACATGATTTTTTAGAGTAAATGAAGCAGATGGATTTGCTCGTACATTATTATACCGAGATTTTCCAACGCATTTTGTTTGGAATTCATGTAAGAAGATTTGGACTTCCAGAAAGAAACGTATTGTCATAGGTCGAATTGTTTAAGCAAATCCTTCTGAAAGAGAACGATATTTCCTATGGGCACTTCTCAATCATATTCGAGGTCCAACGTCATTTCATCATTTACGAACTTCAAATGAAGTAACTGTAAGTACATATCGAGAAGCGACACTTTTACATGGCTTGTTAAGCGGAGACAATCATTGTGAAGAATGTCTATCGAAGCTATTGTTTATAACATGCCTACTTCTTTAAGACGTCTGTTTGCTACGCTTCTTATACTCTGCAATCATGATCATTTGAAACTACTATGGAATAAATTTAAGAGTTATCTGACTGACGATTACGTACATGAAAATAAACCTCCAGATGTTGCTGAATTACAAGCTTTGGAAGATATAAGTTCTATTCTAGAATCATTGGGTAAAAATATAAATGATTATGAAATAGTGTCCTTCAATATTAATATAGATGAAAATGAGAGGTTAACAAGAATGATTATAGAGGAGACATCAAATTTGGATATTGAAAGGGGTTACGTTTGTGCAGCAAGCTTAAATGATCAGCAAAAAATTGTGTATGCTACTATAATGGAAAAAGTAAATTACAATTCAAGTGCAGTTTATTTCATTGATGGTCCAGGAGGAATAGGTAAAAAATTTCTATATAAAGCACTCTTAGCTGGTGTGAGGTCACAAAAGTTAATTGCTTTGGCTACTGCATCATCTGGTGTATCTGCATCTCTTTTACCGATGAATAGCTCATTCAAGATTTAAAATTTCGTTGGAAACAATTGGTCAAGTAACCTGTTCTGTGAGTAAACAATCTGCTTTAGGAACTTTGTTGAAAATGTCGAAGTTAATACTCTGGGATGAAGCGCCTATGGTAAATCTTTGTGCCATTGAAACTGTTGATAAAATGCTTAAAGATATTGTTGATTTTAATTTGCCTTTCGGTAGGAAAGTAGTAGTTTTAGGAGGGAGATTTCCGACGAGTTTTACCAGTAGTACCAAGGAGGAAAAAGATGACATTATGAAAACTAGCTTAATTTTCTCTGACGTATGGCCTTTATATTCACACATATCCTTGGTTGAGAACATGAGAGCAAAATTAGATCCAGTATTTTATGATTATTTACTTAGAATTGGAAATGGAACAGAGCAAGAACATAATTGTCATTGCATTTAATTGTCTTATGATACTATAATTTGTAGTAGTACAATAAATTCTAACATAAATATTCAATTTCACATTTCTAATTTTATATTACATTGAAATATATTAGTGTTAGCGCGTAAAAAAGATGCAAAAAGTTGAAGAATAAAAAAATTAAAAATTAAGCTATTGGGGAACAAATTGGATTTTTTTCCCTTTGATCTATTAACCAGTTTTATATCCATCATAAATATTTGTAGATCGTTGAGTTAATAATAAAGGTATAAATTTATAAAATTAAATGCCTAGATATTCTCCGTTTTTATTATTTGAGTACAAATCCCATTTTGTTTTTCGTTAATGAAACTATTCATTTTGCTGACCTCGCGTATATCTCCTTCTTTAATTTTTCATATTCGACGCTAACATTACCATCAAAATATCAAAGTCCGTGCATTGCACGGCCAAAACTAGTATATTTAAATGAGTCAAAATGTTGTTTCTTAATTTTTAAAACATTCGATCAAAAACTTTCTAGTTGCTGAAATTTTTGGACAAGATGCACAAACAAAATTTTACCTAAAAAATTTAAAGCCAATATTGAACATAACTTTTCAAAAATATGATAGACATAATTTATTAATTTAGATCAAGTACAAATTTTTACAAGGTCTAAACTCATTATTTGTTCCACATTTTCTATTTTACTATTCAGGGTATATTTTGCTAGCATTAACACGTTCAAGGTAAAGTACACTTAGAAAGTACATACAAAGTAATTCCTTGGACAAACGATTTCATAAAAATTCATTATCATTCCTGGCATATACAATAACAACTATTATAAAAATCAAATCATTATATAGAAAATAAAGTAGATTTAAAAATGTTAAAACTCAGTTTTCAATCCTCCGGTGCAGAAATGCATTGAAATATTAATTCTATATAAAGTCAAATATGATTCCAGTCAGTCCAAATTTTTAAGACATCGTGATAAGATATGCAAAAATATGTTGAATAAAACTACTCTCCAAAATGTTACTTATTATAATTTGAAGAATTCTTCAAGGTTTGAGTACAATGCAACAACATCAAATTTGCAAAATGAATTATAAGAAAATGGATTTTGAAATAGAAAACTAATATACAATAAAGTAGAAATTGAGAGAGAAAGGGAATGCATGTTTTTGGATTGGGTTCATGAAGAAAGTTAGTTTTATTTTGTAAAGAGAGATGTAACATTTAAGAAAATTTAATTTATATTCTTTTACATTTCATGTAGGGATTATTTACATTAATTAGATTTTAAAAAGCCCCCTAAATTGTTTTTATTAGCTGGTCAAAATTCCAACTTAATGCCTACTTATTTGTTAATTTAGATTTTATGAAGTTTATTTAATATGAATAAAAATTCAATATTTCCAAGAACTTGCCTAGGTTCAATTTATATAACAATAGCAAGTCTAAAGATTATAAGCACAAAAAAAAAAAAAAAAAANAAAAAAAAAAAAAAAACACATATCATATAACTTATTTAAAGTTTAATTGAATTTTATGCATAATAATTTTTTATTTATTAGGCACTTCAAAGGGCATCCAACGTATATTTTCATTGCAAAACATAAAAAGTCACAATAAGAATAAATTTACTAATTAAGCATTTAATATGACATTGTAACAATCATAATTACATACACAACAATGTAAGGGACATGAGACGTTACATCAAATGAAGATAAAACAGTGCAAACTGAAGTAACTAAAGCTGAGTCAAAATATAAAAAGGTTGAACCCCAACCTTGAGGGCCCTCCATTGCCCCGCCCCTAGAGCATTGTGAAGGAGGTAAATAGCGGGATGTGCCTCAACAAGCCAGGGTACAGGAGCTGCCATACTGGTACCCACAAATTACCAATTAGCAAGAGTTGAGGAAAGAAGACAAAACAGACTTTCTACTAGGCTACGATACATAGAGTTATTGACAGAAGTTGATAAACCGAAGAGGCAATCATTAGTTGATTTCAAATGGTTTATAAGAAGCCGGGGTTGACAGTAAACTTTTTCTAGTTAAAAAATGGGTAAGAAGTTCATCTCTTATGTTGCAAATAAAGTAAAAGTAGGTTTGATCATGTTTTGGACTTAAGAGACGAGTAATAACTATATATTCGTTTTCTTGTTATTGTACTTGAGAATGTCTCTTAATTTCATTGTGAAGTTCATGTTGAAACTGCGTGTTTAAGGTCAGTTTAGTTCTGGTTAAACTGAGCTTCATATGCTAGATTTGCAATAGACTGAATCAGTGACAGAAGCTAAGGTTTAGAATCTGAAATTGCACTTGATCTGTTGAAATCTGGTTGATATTTTGAACCTGTATATGGGTTGTATTTGGTTCTATCTTCGATTTCTTGGTGAAATCATTAACAAAATTGCTTTGATGATCCATGATCAGTAAGGTTTGAGTTGATTTAATACTGCACATTAAACTGAATTCACTTAGTCTTTGTTTTTGCAGGTATTGTACTGTTTTCTCGAGTCAAGGTGGAGTTAGTGATGAGTTTTGACTCAAAAGAAAATACGTGTTTTTTGCAAACACGTTGCTTGTTGTTGGAACAAAGTAACTGCCTATTTTACATTCTTCAAAGGACGGCTGGGATTAGACCACCAAGATCTAATGGCCAAGATTGATCCTTCTTGACTGATCTGATGGCTGGGATAAAATAGGCTATTAATTTGTTCCAACAGCAAGAAACACGTTTGCACAAAAAACATGGCTTTTCTTTCTTTTTCTTTTGATTCTAAACTCGTCACAACTTCTTTATATTTAGCGCCTGTTTGAGAGGCATTATTTCCACCCAAAAATGATTTTTCTTACCATTGTGGGCCCAAGTGCGAAACAAAGAATTCAAAACCGGCGGCTCAACGGTACAATTTCTTCTACTTTTGGAGAAATAATGCCTCTCAAACAGGGCTTTAGTAGTCAAATTTATGATGTTAATTTTCTATCCGCTGAAAGTATATGTATAAAAACACAAGGTAAGCAATCATTGTGTAAATTATGACCCCAATTTTTTTGTCACATATAAATCTCGTTATTCATTGACTAATTTAGCTAATTAATGAACTGCCAATGAACTATACATGTTGCAGTGATTGGGGAATAAAAAAATCACGTATGAACCTGCAGATATTTGCACAATCTGAATCCAAGCAAGAAACTATAATAGTCAAAGCGCCTTCAATTAAGATGCCAAAAAAGAAGAAAAATGATATAAAGTTCATTCTGTCACTTGTAAAAGATGATGGAAATGCAGTCCTCCTTGAAGTAAGTATTTAACTCAAATAAACATTAAAATGTTGAAAAGATAGGCATAAAATTTAAAACAATTAATTAGAAAAACTGCAATCATATATCACCATTCAAGCTCAAACTTTCACAGCAATTGTTCTTAAAGTTTACAGTACTAAATGAAAGGGAAACAAACATTAATGTTCCTTAAATTAAATGCAAAATTCTTAAATGTAGTTTACTTAACCTCTAGCATTAGAAATTAAATAGCAGCCCTGCAAGGAACCCCTTTTCTACTACGCTTACGCTTGTTTGGATTCGTAGGTTGCTCAACCTCGTCCCTTCCTTCTGTAAGCATCCCCGTAGCTACAGAAGACTTGCTTCTTTCGTAGAATGCTTGCACCTAAAAATTTGGTCGAGATAAAATGAATAGGTGTTGAAAAAACTTAAAAATTGCTCACTCTTGAGCCATTTTGTGTGTGCGCATCCATGTGTGCATGCACATATATGCGTTCGAACTAGACTAGTTAGTTTTATATTATTTTTGGCATTATAACCTTGCAAGCTAAGCAGCAGAAGCTATAACGGTCAAAGTCATTCAATTTTCTCTTACACACATGGCATGCTTCATCGCCGTCCATGTGGGAACCTGAACCATTGTGGGGAAGCGGCTTTAGCGACACAACCCACTTTTTGTTGCATTTGTAAGGCTGCAATCAATATTTAATGAGTTTACAAAATGACGAATTATATATGACTATCTGTAAAGCAAGTGTATGTGAAAAAGTCATTATATTATAGTAAATGCATAATACACATTCAACGATTTATTTACTACGTTACAGAACTTCACTAACGCATGTAATACTTTTCGGGACTGCTGTTTTGTCTTTGCAACATTTGAGGTGCTTGTACCACGTCAGATCCCAAACCATAGGTAATTTAGTCAGAAAATACCGTATCTGAAAATTTTGTTAATTATTTGTGATGGATTTTTGCTGTCGCAAGAAATATAAGTAAAATACCATCTAAATGGAAAGTACCTGAATTGTTGAACAATCAAGATGATTCTCGATCTCCTTGAGAGGTACCACATCTTGATAGACATGACGATAAATGGTGAGTAGCTTGTGATCGTTGTGGGTACCTGATGCGATGCAATACTTGCAATTTGAGGAATCGCAAGTAATGCAATACCTATTCAAATCATTCTTTGAAAAATCATGACTCTCACATCTACCAAAAAATGTCTTTTCTAGCAAACCATCAAGCCACTCTGGAATCACTTTCTCACATTGAATAGTCATATCAACCTAAAAATAAATCATGTTATCAAGAAGATATAAAGCTAAAACATGTTTAGAAATCCAAAAATAAGCACTTACATATCGTGTAACATAAATAAAGAACTGAGAATTTAACATTAATTTCACTTAATAAAATCCAATAGAAAATATGCTGCAAATAAATTCAAGAAAATTGGTGTCGATCCATTAGTACATCTCTATGCTGCAAATAAAATAAAGTTCGGGTCGTTAAAGGGCACAATATTTAGGCAAAAAACACAAAAATTAATAAATAGATTTATTTGTTTTTATTTATATGTGTTTCTTAATTACATGAAAGAGTGTAAGTCTTTTAGATATTGCATAGGGTACTCGAAATTCTTAGGGCTGATTATGAGTCATAATTGATTATTACACAATGAATTCATATTAAATACTACAACAAATTCTATCAGACTTTGTGTATGCAACTATTTCAAATCTTTCAACAAATAAGTGACCATCAAATCCAGGAAATTTGAAATTTTTTGTCCCTAATTTACACCTATATATTTCCACTCCCCTCCCCTCCCCAAATCATGTCGCTTTCCAGATAAATTGAAACCACTCTCTTTGTGCTTATAATTTCATGAGTCATATAAAAGTTTGGCTAGCTAGTTTATCACAGCATCTATGTTTAATTTTTTCCAAGAAAAAGGAATTCATAAATATTTTGAACAGAAATTAGTTTTTTTAAATTGTATAGTTTTAAGAAAGAAATTCTTAAATGGTACAAATAAACCCAAAAGTCTTCATAAAGACAAATTAAAAAAACCACATTTCCCTATCAAGAAGTACGGAATCATGGTCCTAAGACCAAAAAACTTCCTAGCGTAGAATTGCCGTATCTCTGTCCTTAACTTTCTTATATATATATGCATAAATTTGTTGAACAATGGCAAATTATCATATGTTTCTTAATTCTAGGTAAACTTCCAAAATCTTATTGAAAACCTATAGTTGAGGAAAAAATTCGCAGTTTTCATTTAAAGCGCATCTTTACACAACAAGAATTAATATGAAATCAAACCGAATATCAATTGATATAAGCATTTCAAAAGGAATTATAAATAAGTATTAGCACTTCATAATGGGTGTTACAACTGCATACCTTTCCATGGATTTCAACAGAAGAAGAATAAGACATCTTTTTTGTATTGACAAGCACAAAGAAGTGTATAAAACCTTGTCATACTTATAGTGAATCATAATAAGGTTGAGAGTGTTAATTGAGATTATCGTGATTAATTAATTTCCTTTGTCCAACACAGTAATTGGCAAATTGAAATTAATAAGGTGGTTAGCTAATTAAATTATCTTATCTGTAAAAGAGGGAAGAATAAATGTTCAGATTTTTTTGAATGGCCTATAGGTTTGAAGCTCAATAATAAAAAAAGGGAAAATCAAAGTATGGATTTTTCATGTGAATTTGACCTTTCTATATTACCTTTGGTAGATTTCTTTCCATTGCAATGTATAATGATAAATTACAGGCAGACCCCTATTAATATTCAACCTTACCCATTTCTCTCATTATCTAAACAAATTAGCATGCATCATTCTTATTAGGATTTTCTCTCCCTTGAGTGCATGTATTTTTATTTCAAACCAATACCTTTTCATTTTAATATTTACTCATTTTTCTTAAAAATCATGAAGTAGGATATATTGTGCATCAATAGCTTTCTTACAAAATGTTCTTTCAAAAATTAAGTAATTAGTATTTAAAACTATACACAAACATTAATATCTATTAAAATCTATATAGAAAATTCAAACCTTGAATTTATAAATATATGGTTGACAAGAGAAAATCTTTATTAGATATAAAAGGCACATATTCACACCAACACTTTTCTCAAAATGCTATGACTTTCTCATTAATAAAAAATTCAATGCTAGTGAAAAAAATATTTCAATGAATTTATTGCAATACACCAATGAACAACTATTTCGTTGTCCTTTGCAGAATTTTTCAAATAACAGAGTTCGACCCAACTAACACCTAGAGGGGGTGAATAGGTGTTTATGTGAAATTTATATTTATCAATTAATAAATTCAACAAGTCACACTTATTAATTAATTCAAATGAATTCACATGCACTACCGTCCTTTATTGAATTGCCGTAAATAGTAAATTATTGAATAATAAATACCACTTGAAAATTGTTGATGGAGAAAACCCGCAACTGGATAAAAACTCTAAGCCTAAGCCAGTAAAAACTCACTATAAACGAATCAACTTATAGTGCTTGTTTGGGAGGGATTTTTTGGGGAAAAATTGATTTTGAATAGTGATATGATGGGAAATGTGAGGTTGAAAAAGAAGAAAAAATTATTGATGTGATGAAAAATATTATTTTGTTGAATATTGTGTGGTTGAAAATGAGAATTGATTTACTGTAGAATTTTGAAAATCTCTCCCAAACAGGGTCATAGTACTGTTAGATTCGATTAACTCTATTATTTTCTAATCTCCTGACTATAATTACCAAAACTGGATTGCGTTCTCCTACATCAACTCCCGACCTTCTGAATTCGTGTATCTCATGTGGATCAATGAGAACTCCTCGTTCTCCAACAATCGTTATGAAAGTAAGTGGTTTAGTGTTGGGTATGTGAAATTGATGTTTTCAATGCTATGAATAAATCAAATTGAAGATTGAACTAATAGAATGATTTTTAGGAAGTAATTACTTGTTTCTCTTAATGTTCAACCTCTGGTTTTTTGAATGGTGGCGTGCATGTATATAATATAGAGGCTTTGGGTAGTATAGACCGGATAAAAATCTTGAAAAACGCGAATTAGGTTTTCCCGAGATACAGTGGCTCTTGAGCGATAGGCAAGCGACGGTGTGTCGCTCGAGCAAAATCTAGGCGATAGACAAGCAACTCAGTTTCTATTTTTAACGCTCGAGCATCAGTTGGGCGATAGGCTAGTGAACTTGCGACAATACTTTTCTTTTCGTTCCATGCTCAAACCCTAAGACTTCTAACTTACCACTTGACACTTTGACTTTTAAAGACTCTTTTACAACAATAATTTTGTCAAAAGATTGCCAACAACTTTAAACCTAACAATTTTAAAATAGACTATCGATTATTATAATTAAGCAATTTGCACAATTTTGAAATAAACTATTTATATCATAATTAAGCAATTATAGCACTTACAATAAAATGATTCTTTATATTTAATTCTCTGTGTAGTTGATAAAATGTATAGTTACTAAATAATTAGGGTTTTAACTTAGTGGGAAAGAAATTAACATTGGATACTGTCCTTAAACTGCTTTCTGCCTTTGCCAAACAGTATTTATACCAATAGAAACTGTTCACAAAAGAATATGAATTTCCAAATTCATGTTTTTAAACAACATAGTAGACTACACATATACCATAAAAGAGTTAAAAAAAAAATGAACTTGTAATTGTTGAGTTTATTAGAGCGATGTTACTAACATAAAATAGTGTGATTCCCATCCATGCCGTGTTGTCCGCAATTGGTTGTAGCCACCACTATCTAGGAATCCTTGAAACAAAGAAAATCCCAAGCATTTAAATTGTAAACTTCCTCTCCTCATTCCAACAATATTTAGCAACACCTGCATATGTTTTTGGTAATTGAACTCCCAGAGATGATATTGTTGGAAATTAAAACTTGATTCATGAACGTTGAGAATTAAATTTGATTTATGAATTAGTTTATTTAATATTGGTCTTTGTATTCTACTATTCATGGTACATAGGAGAAATCATTAATTAGTCTCTTGAATTTATACAATGTATTTGGGACTCCTTGTATCTATAAAAGACCTTGTGTTTGAGACATTTGATATAGCCAAGCCACAAATATCTTTCAAGAAATTCCTATGTTTTCTCCGTAGCCTTCTTCCCAGAATTGTTTATTTCCAACAGATATGTGATATACCCTTATTGACCCTCTCATGACCACATAATTGACCATATAAATCCAACGCAGCAGCCATGCCTTCACTTTTTTTTCCTGTCCCCCGTTAAAAAGATAATGAGATCATCGGCATTAATAGATATGAAGGAGCTGTCACCCTGTTGATATGGCCATAGAATCCAGAACACCTGAGGGAACAAGATAACTCAGGTACCAGTTAAGAAATCCTATGCTGTGGAAAACAACAATATGGAGAGTGAATCACATGGATTATCACCCCTTAAACCAAATTGATTTGCTGGCAGTATTCGGGAGGCTACAATAGAAATTCTGTTCGCTAAAATTTTAACATAATTTTAAACAAGAGGTTAGTAAGAACAATTGGCCTAAATTGATCATGTGATTTAACTTCTACAGCCTTTGGGTAATAAATCTGGAATGTAATAAATTTCCTGACTCAGAGAAATACTAGACCACGTGAATCACATCATTCCCAATAATACTCCAGCACTTTTGATAAAAAAGACCTGAAAATCTATCTGGTCCTGGTGGCTGGAGGATCAAGATAAAAAAACTGTCCTTTACCTCCTCATCCTATAGACATGCAGTTAATACTAAGTTCTCTAACGAGACAATAGAGGGCACTATGGCCTCAATCCTCCAGAAGTCTGGATGTAATGATCTTCTGTAAATAATGTGCTAAGATAATCCACCAGCCCATTCCTAATTTCATTCCCATCTCCCATTATATCATCCCCTATTTTTATGGATATAATGATTGCTGTGATTTCCTTTTCTCTAATCAATGGAAGAACGCCATGTTTCAAACACCATTTTTCAGCCATTCAGCCATTGTACTCTATTTTGATCCCTCATCATCATTTCTTTCTGTTTACAGGCTGGGTTCCCTCTAAAATTGTTAGATACAGAACGAGGTTATTTGACACAATATAAAGATTTATTACAACAACAAAATTAACACAAAGACAAGAATTTAATTTGGTTGGGAAATTGAAGATTTTATTCAACAACTATAATGGAGAGAAAATACAATAATTGTATTCCTTCACAATGATTCTAACTTTTAGTAATACAAAACTTATAAAAAAGAGTCTACTATTTATGTGGGTGCATGCCAAACACTAGAGATAACTCTAAAGATGGAAATTAGGTCAAAAATGCTTGTAAAGACAAAACAAGGAAAGTCCTGGAATGCTGCGGAGCTCGAGCGCCAAGCTGGTGCTAGGTGATCACCAGGGGTGCCGCTCGAGTGCAAAGCGGGCGTTAGACGAGGGATCAGGAGCCATGTGAATTGTCAGTTTCCTTTACAGGCATCAATAGAATCTCTAAGCTCCTCAACTGATACATGACTAGGATGGGTTCCTATTTTCTCATGGGCTCCTAGAACAGCATTGGAATCTTGCACAACACAACCGGAAATTATGGGGTCATTAGTTGACTGACCGAATTCCAGAGGCTTCTCCGAGACCTGTATCTGACATTAGCAAAGACTGAGAAAATACGCCGATTGATGCCATGCATAATAAAATTGTTGAGAACCGGCTCCAAATAATAAAGACGAGAATAATTCGAGCAATATGAAATAATGGATAACAAAGAAAATAAGATTTACATGGAAATCCAAATCCGGAAAAACTACGGATTGAGACGAAAAATTCACTCTAATTAAGGAGTTACAAAACTGGATCTCTTTAGACCAATAGTTAATTGGACAATTAGTCAATTCTAATATGTGTTGTGCACCGTATATTTATAACCAAAGAATTCCTAACATACTAGGAGAATTATTACATGAAGTGTTCAATATAAGGTGAAGTCCTAATACGATGGGTAAAACCAATAATGGAAAATTTAGAATGAAATCGGAGTCAAATTCATTTTGAACTCCTTCAAGACATCTTCAAGTCTACTACCAACTCCCAATACTTCTCCATCAGTATTTCCAATCAATTACTTTACAAGAATTCGGGTCACAACCCAATTCTAACAAAAATCAATGGTGTTGTGTTTCTCATGAAATAAATGCACTGTAATAGAAGTTACCATGTCCAAGGCAAAGACCCAGATAGAAAGCAACAAGTTCTCTTTACTGTTAATAGTACATGTTTTAATCGAATTGAGCTCCAAAAATTGCTGTATACTGATTTCGAAACAACTTTCTGCTTTAGAAAAACACAATAAATCAACCTTATTTGAAGTGCACAAATTAAAGAGA